CATCAATCTTTTTCATTCTAAAGTTATTTTACTTTGTAAATTTTCTTTATTTTTATTAACTAAATATTTTTTTAGAATTCTTTATTATAGACTAATATGTACATATTTATTATTTGATAATATTTTTAAAATTGCATTTTTCAAAAGGTGGGATAATTTAAACCACCAATTGTAATTTAGGATTTTCTGAATCTACCCATTTAAGTTTTTTTTCAGATTTTTTTTAATTTTAATTATCGTTATTATTTTCTTCTTCCTATTAAATTTTTGCGTTTAAAAATGTATTTCTTAATAATATTTCTTCATTATCATCTTAAGTTGATAATTATTACCAATTGTAGCTTTTTGCTCCTATCCCTTATTTAACAAATCTATTTTCTAAACCCAATAATTAATTAAAATAGCATGCCTTAATTTCTAAGTTTTATCTTCTGGAATGTAAATATTCTAATGTCTTATATAAGCTCCATTTAAATCTTTATTACATATTTTTATTATAAAATTTAATTATTAATTACTTTTTCATTAAATATGCACATATTATACAAACTGAACGATTCTAAGCCTTTATTGAATGGACTAAAATACTTTCACCCTTTTCTAAAGTATCTTCAATCATTTAATATGTAGTATTAACTACTTCATTATTATAATCAAATATACTCTTTTTTTAATTATTAATAAAATTTATTGAAAAAAAAAACAATGTTTTTAATATTTATTAATAAATAAATCACTTATTATTCATTTTCTAGCCAATTATAATTTAAATAAGCAACGTCGACTGCCTCCCAATGATTTGGTATTTACTTTGAAGCGCAATTTATTATTTTAGTAATTTTATTTGCTAATATAAATTCTATATCCTTTTATAATTATTGGAATTAAAAAATTATATGATAATCATAATTTATCCTATTTTAAATTTAAAATATTTTTAATTTTTTAATAATTAATTTTCATTTATATATTTTTTACTTACTTAGGCTGCATATTCATCTCCTAAATAGAGTCCATCTAATATTTTTACTCCTCCTATTATATCTTTTGTTTACATAATTTAATATTTATATATATTTCTTTTAATTTTTTTTTAAAAAAGTTATAAATTTAATAAAATTTAAATTAATAATTGTAAAAACAGTACTAAAAAAAATATAAATTATTATTTAAAATAAAATTGTGTTTTTTTATAGTTTCATATAAAAATTATTTTATATATTTCTTGACCATATTAATTAAAAAAAAAAAAAATGGAGATAATATGGTTAATGGCCTTTTTATATTTAATTATTTTTATGAAAAAAAAAATAGAGAAATTAAAATAATACATATATATGAACTATTAATATAAATATTCTAAATTTATAAAAATATTATTATTAATAGATTTAAAATATCTTTAAATTTTATTCAAAAGAAAAAATATAATATTTATATTATTATAAAATAAAATATAAAAAGACTATATTATTTTTATAAAGATTAATTTTTTATATTTTATCTATTCTATTATTTATATTATAAAAAATTATTTTTAAATTATTTATTAATAAATTTTTTTTTTTTTATTATAATTCGAGAATTAGGAAATAAAAAAAAAGTAATATATATATATATATATATATAAATATATAATTAAATATATTTATATATTTAATTTATATATATAATATTTTTAGAAATTATTATTGATATTATATTTTAAATAACGAAGTAATTTTTTATAAATAAATCAATTAATTATAAAATGTTTAAAAAATTATTTAAAAAAAAGAAAAGAAAGTTGTTTTAAACCGAAACTCATCTCTATAGAGCTTAAATGATAGGTAGTAATAAAAATATACATAATTAATAAATTTGCCTCCTCATTTTGCAGATGAATTATTGTTTTATGAAATGGAAATAGAATTAAATGAAATAAATATTACTTAAATATAAAAATTATTAGAATTATATGCTGTAAAATATATATAAAAATTATATATTAAACTATGAATTTTTAAAAGATAGGTATTGAATATTATGAAAGCATTGAAAATGAAAAATATTTGATTTTTAAGAATAAGACATAATAATTATTACTTCGGCCAAGTGTACAAAAAGTAATAACGTAGTAAAATATATAAAATTAGTAAAATAAACCAATTTCATAACGTGAATACTGTATAGTATCTAAAAAAAACACATTATTTTGTTTTTTAATTTATATATAATAAAAAAGCAAAATGAATAAAGAAAAGAGCGCTCTCATTCCACATTTTTATAATAAAAATAACATAATATATAAATAGAATATATAAATTAATAAAATCCTAAAGAAATTGCTTAAATTATATTAAATTAATACAAATAAGAATAAATATAGAAAGCTAACATAATAAAAAATTAAATAGAAGATTAAACTTAGGATTTATTTAAAAGATTATAAAAACGTAAAAATTAAAATGAAATAAATAAATTTTAGTAAGATCATCAAAAAAGCTAAAATGAAAATATAAATTATATGAATTTATAATCGTAATAATCTTAATAAAATAACATATTAGTAAAATAAAGTACGTTTGTAAATTAATAAAGTTAATAAAATACAATAAACAAATGGTTGAATTAAATAAATAGTTAATAAAATGTATATAAAATATATTGAAAGAAATTTAAAAATATTATATAGTATTTAAATATATTTATATATATATAATTATTATTTTTTATAAGTAAATAAATAATATTAATATATATTTTTTTTAAACTAAATATTATAAATATATTTTTTAAAAATATTTAAATAACATTTAAAATTATTATTAATTAGTATTTTTTTTTTCTAATTTTATTTTTAAAAGAAATTAATAAAAATAAAAAGAGACAAATATTGTTTTTTTTATATTTTTAAGGTTGCAATACATATAATTATATAAAAATGAATTGTTTTTTTAATCATTAAATATTTATAAAATATGAAAGTTAATAAATTATATAATTAATATAACTGATTTTAACTCTATCGAGCTTTTTTTCTATTTTTTAATATATTAATGAGCATAATAGCTACATATTTCTAAAGAACCTTTTTCAATAAATTGTATGGAACATTCATATAAATCTTCTGTATTAAAAAGCTTTTCTTCATGGATTTAATCTTATTTTTTTATAAATAGAACTTTTTTTAATATTACATTATCACTAAAATTTTATATAAATATAGAAGAATTTATTAAGACAATTTTATTTTTTTGCATTAATAAAGATTGTTTTAAACTATTTGATAATTAATTAATTATTTTTTTGATTCTAATTTAAAATCAATTGATAGATCTTCTATTCAAAAATAATTTAAATATAACTGATTGAAGAATTAAAAAACGTATTTATATACAAAATTCTCAAATATTTATTTTTGATTTAATATATATTTTTTTTTTAAATTAATGCTTCTAATCTACATATAATGAATATCTTTTATCGTTAAAATATTATAATTATTATTTTTTATTTATTTATAGCATTTTCCTGGTAACTATATTTACTTTTACTTTTAGATTCTCTTTAAATTTCAGATCAAATATTATATTTTTTATGGTTTAAGTATTTTATGGCCTAAATACTTACTTATTCTAGCATTTTTTAATTTTTTGCTTGAACTAATTAATCAGATTATTCTATTTTTTAATTGTAGATATATTTAGATTAACTATAAAAATTATTTTGAAATCTTGTTTGAGTATAATAATAAAAAAAATATATAAAATAATTAGTTAACTATTTAGTTTTTTATTTTTTAATTATGTTTTTATTTATTTATACAAATTTGTTATAATTTAGTTAAATAAATAGTATTTAAGTTAAAATAAAATAGTTTTTTTTTTTTGAGAAATTTTTAATATAACTCATTATTTTGAATAATAAATTATCAATTTGAAAAAGTTTAATTTTTAAATAATAAAATGTAGATATTATATTTTAAAATAATAAAATGTAGGTATTATTTAAAATTAAAGGTTTATCTATAAATTTATGTTTTTTAGGGCAAAAAAATTAGAAGTTTTATTATATAAACAATAAAATTGATTAAATAACAAATAATTTAATTCTTAAATAATATTTATATAGTCATTTTATATAAAAACTTTAATTAAATAATTATAATTATTATTATTTAAAAAAAATTAATTATTTACTTTAGCCTATTTTAATTTATTAAAAAATAAATGTAAGAAAATAATTTAGACTAATTATAAAAAGACATAACAAGAGTTATAAAATCATACAAATTATCAAAATAACATATAAATGACAGTTTAGATAAAGTAATTCAATTACTTATATAAACAAATGAAAAGATAGAATCTTCTAATTAAATGGAAATAGAAAATAATGTATAATTATAAAAATTTTAATGTTTTCTATATAAAATATTTTAATAATTAATTATTTTAGAATGAAAATTAGAATATAAAAAATAGCATCCTCGATTTACATCAAGAACTATAAGTATTTATAAATAAAATTTATTTTAAAAAAATTAAAAATAAAAAAGAAATTAAAACCTTTAAAAACAATTGTATAAACTCATAAAGACCATTTTTAATATGTTTCTAAATTTGGAAAAAATATTGATAAAAGCTTTAGTGATTAAATAAATTTTGTTTTTTTAGACTCATTAGTAGATTTCGATAAAAATATATTAAATGAAGTAAATATAAATATATTTTATAATATTTGTAGAAAAAATTTAAATTTAGACAATTGCAGAATATTTATTAATTGAAAAATAATTTGATATATATTAAGAATTTTTAAAAGAAAATAATCTAGAAAGCAAGTTTAGTTAAGAAAAATTTTAAATATAAAAATAAATATCAAAGGTAATTAATAGAACAAAAAGGAAAAAAAAAAAATTAATATTTTTGCGAAAAAAAATAATAATATTATTAAATTTTTTTTTTTTTTTAAAAAAAATATGAATAAAATTTACTATTTTTAATGTAAATAGATTATAGATGAAATATAAAAAAAAGAATTATAGAAAGCTATTGAATGGGCAGAAGAACATAAAGAAAGCTTAGAAAAAATAGAGAGCACTTTATTATTTATTCTGCATAAATTATAATTTTTAAAAATTTTAAAAATGGATAAAATTGATAGCATAAATTATGCAAGAAAAAATTTAAAACAATTTTTTTTAAAAGACAATATAATGGCTGAAAAAGCATAATAAATAATGGGAACTATAATATGGCATGATTAGTATATATTATTTATAAAAAAACCAATATGTATTTATAAAAATATAAAAAAAGATTAAATTCTAAATATTACAAATAATTTAATGAGGAAGAAACATGGAAAGATGTTTAAATGTTACTAATAAAAAATTGTTGTCAGATATATTGTAAAATTATTTATTTATTTATGTATTTATTTATTTAATTTATTTATTTATTTTTAATTTTTTAATATAAACTTAAAAGAATTGCCTATTAAAAGTTAACTTGCTTTATGTTTAGTCGCTGGAAGTTTAGGTAAAATTTTAATAAAAATATATAATTATAATTTTTTTTTATATAAATTTGTTAAAAGCATTACCTAAATTTATAAAATATGCTTAAATAAGCAATTAAAACTAAAATTTAGAATAAATATGTAAAAAAAACAAAGAATATCCTATTGAAGTTGAAATCGGTTAAGAATTTAAATTTCATTCTACTTTTGTATGTCCAGTATCTAGAGATGTTGTAGGGCCTGATTAAAATATTATTTTACTGGCTTGTGGGCATGTTATATCTGAGTAATTTATAAATTATTATTTATTTTTATTATAGATTAATAATTAATAATATTATAATAAGGTAATCAATGAAAAAAATTACTGCTAATTCTACAAAATCTAAATTTAAATGTCCTACTTGCCCAAAGGAAATGTCTGTTAAAGATACAAAAGTTATATATTTTTGAATACTTATCATTTTCTTTTTTTTTTTTTTTTGATTTTAAAAATATATTAAATATTACTAATTTAAAATATATATATATTATATACATTTTATTTAATTTTTTAATTTTTTTTAATTTATAATTTCATTTTTACTTCATAATTATATATATTTCAATATAAACTCTCAAATATATTTATATAATATATAAAATATAAATGATAATTAATTTATATTGTTTAATTATTTTTCTTTCAGAAATTACAATTATTATTTGTATTGCTTTTTAATAATTATTTTAAATATTTTATTTCATTTTAATAATTTGTTAATTATTCTTCCATATTTTTTATTTAATTTTACATAAAATCTTTATCTTTTAAATGCTTATTTTCCCTTAACTTATATTAATCTAGAATATAATTCATTTTGAATTTCAATTTATTTGCACAATCAGTACTCTAGTTATTAGGTTTACTTTAAGAACCGTTTTTATTGTTTTAAAAAAAAGAAAAATTTTAATTTTCTGCACTCTTTAAACTTCTTATTTCTCCAACTTTTTTAGGTGAAGGCCCATCTTTTCCGAATTAAATAAAATTATAATTTTTAACTGTATTCAGACTAGAATTTGTAATGTTTGATTAATTTTAATCTTTTTTATGGCTAACATTTAGATATAATGTTTAATTTGGCGAATAATTATTTTTTTAATATACAACATGTATTCCTTTATTCTTACTTGATTCTGTTTTTATAATTTTATGATTATCTTAGCCATTTTATTGATCTTCTTTAGTATTAATATTACTATTTATATTATTATGATTATTTTTATTATTATTAATTATATTTTAAATAAATTTTTTATTTTCTTTATGTTCTAATGTATGATTTCTATTATTTAAAGGCTAATATCTAGGTTTTACATCAAAATAAGACATTTACCTTGCAGAGTTAGGTTAAAATTATGAGATATATTATGCATTATTTGTAGAATTATAGTTATTTATTTATTAAGGTTATGTTTTTAGAGATTTTTCCTCAAATAATTTGTTCGTTTGAATCTCTAAATCTTTTATTTTTTCCTTAATTTCAATGTTGCTTCTTATTAAATTACTTATTTTAATTGATTAATTTTAAACGAAATTTATTTAATGTGGATTTGATGTATAATTATTTTAATTTTGTAAATGAAGATTATATGTGTTTTTTAATTGCATTTTTTAAAAAAAAAAAAAATTAATTTTTTTTTTAATATAAAAATTTGGTGTATTTATTTTTTTTTTAATTACAATATTTTTTTTTTTTTTTTTTTTTTTTTTTTTCATAAGTTTTATAATTTTTAATTTTAATTGATTGATTTATTTAAAATATTTAATTTTTAAGTATTTTTATTGTTTTTGTTTTATTATTCTACTCTATTCTTTTTTTTATACTAATTTAAAGCCATCAATTATTCTTATAGTAAAATTTATTATTATTTTTGTTTTTCTTTTTCATTTACTTCTTATACTTTTTTATTATTCTTCTTTTTTGTTTTAGTATTTTTTAAATATTCTTTTATTCTAAAATAGCTTTCTTTTTTTCAGTACTAGTATGGGTTGTACTTTAAAATGAAGTATCTAATGATTATTTAGTTTAAGTATTCTTTTCTTCTGAAACCCTTTATACTTATAATTATAATTAATTTTTATTTTTTATCAGATAATTAGAACAAATGATTTATCTCTAAAATCTAATTTCTAGTAAACGGAGAATGTTCATAAATATCTTTTGATTTATTATTTATATTATAAAAACCTTAATTTCAGGCTAAAATACACTTTCATACATTTAAAGTATTTAATTATCATTTTATTTTTCAATTTGAATAGATGTATTTATATTTTCTTATTCTTAACAATAGTTTTCTTTAATCAAATTGCAAATAAAAGCATAATCTTCATCTAATTTTTATTGTTTTTGTTATTGTGAATATTTAATTCTATAAATAGTTTATTATATTGAAGGAAATTCGTTTTATTTTTTTAAAAAATACATTATTTTTCTAAATATTATAAATTCTTTAAAACTATTTTTAATGCTATTTCATTGCAATCTACGTAAAATATTTTATCCTTTTTTTAATTTAGAAGTTTTTTTTTAAATATCATTGTCTTTTTATTAAAATACTTTTTCGAATGTTAATATATCATCTCCTTTTTAATGCATATACAAACAGCTTTTTATTGGACAAGTCTATTCTTTGATAAAGTAATTGCAATATCTTACGTAATAATATTTTATATATTTTTTTAAAAATATATATATATATATATATATATATATATATATATATATATATATCTTATTTTACTTTGAAGTACCATAACAAATTTTAATAATTTTATTTTTGTATTTGAAATAATTCAATGCCTTTTTATTTATTTTTTTAAATAAATTGTTATCAATCTATTTTTTTTATTAAAATTTTACTAATATTGCTATAGAAGCTTCTATTTCGTTTGAATACTATATATATACACCTAGTTATTAAGAATTATAAATTGATTTAGATATAAATTTTTTAATTTATCCATATTAACCCAAAAATTCATATTATCTTAATATCTATAATTTATAATATTTTAGTAAATATAAGAATAAATACTATTTTTTTATATAATAAGTTATGTTTGCACTTAATAAAATAATTTGATTTATATTAATAATCTTTAAATAAACATTATTTTATTTTATAAAATAGTTTTGTATTAAAAGAATAAATTTATAAATAAATAATGAAATTAAAACTTATAAATTTGTAAAATATTATTTATAAATTCTTGTATTTTTCTGAAAATATAATTTTATTTTTGATATAATAAATACTTCTTCATTTATAAGATTGAAATCTAAACCAGATAAAAATATTAAATTTGTTTAAATAATTCTTAATTATTAAAGATATATTATTTTAGCATTTTTTTTGCTGGCTTTAGATTAATATACTACATTAAAATTATCGTTATTATTTTCCATAATGCAAAAATATGAGTAATTTTTATTTTTGTTTATATTGTTTTTTTAGTATTATTAATTTTTTAATAAATAGTTTTTTTTTTTTTTTCTTTAAATCTTTTTTATTGCTTAATTATTAGAAATCATTTTAAAATAAAATAAATATAATAAAAAAATAAAATTAAATTAAATTTATTAAAAAAGTTTAAAAAGATATTTTAAACTAAATATAAATTTCAAAAAAAAAATATATTTTAGAGAAATTTTTTAACAATTCAATTTTATTTGACAATAATAATACTTTAATATATATGAAAAAAAAAATATTTAATTAAATATAATCAATATTTTATTTTTTATCGGGCTGGTACTATGTTTTTATAAAAAAAGCTAATAGTGTTATAAGTTATTATACTATAATATCATGGAAATATTTGATATTGTTAATATTTTTTAAATTACGATTATTTCTAATGTTTTTAATATATAATTTATATACCAAATTTTCTCTATTTTTAATTCGTATATTTTTTTTTTTATCGAAAATGTAAAATCTTGTTTATTATTTGAAAATTAAAAAATGTATCAAAGTATAATTCTTTATTTTATATCTAAAAATATTAACTTTTTTAAAATAATATAAAAAACATATATTTTTTCTATAAACATGTTATTCATTTTTAAATTTAAAATTGGAGTTTAAAAAATTATAATTTTCGATTATAAACCAATTTAAATAGTTAAAAATAAAGGATTTTTATAGATAATTTAGCTTATTGGAAGCTAATTTAAAATTATTATGAATAAAACATTTATAATTTTTGATATAAGCATTTAGATAGGGAAATAAAAAGTAATCTGTAACAATATTTTTAATAATGGATACACATTAATTTTGGATTATTAGAAACCAAAAAATCAAATGAATTTTTTTTATCCATTATTTTAAAATATGTTATAAATCTTATGCTTAAGTGTAAGTAAATAATGAATCAAAAGCTTGGAATTTCTTGAAACTGATTTAGGAAAATTAATGAAATTATATATTACTTTTTCTCATATGTTTTTTTTTAAAAAAATAAAATAAAATAATCAACCAATAAAAAAAAGGCGAAAAAAAAAAAAAAATGGAAAAAAATATTACAGAAAAAAAATACAAATATGTATAACTAGTATAATTTAATTAATGAGAATAATAAAAAGGAAAATTTATTTGAAATTTTTTGAATTCAGATATGGGCAAATAGTAATATTAAAGTTAGAATAAATAGTAAAGTATCTTTTTCAATAGCAATACATATAATTCAAATAAAGCAGCAATATATTAATATTAAATTTAATGTATATTTAAAAAAATTGATCTAACAAATAAATTGTTTAAAGATAGTATAGAATGTACATAATTATATTAAAAAATATTTTATTTTATTAACAGAAAAAAAATCAGAATTTGATAATAAATTTTATAAACTTAAACTTGATAATAATACAATATTGGCCCTAAAATATTATTTTATTATATTTTCTTAAAAAAATTAGTAATTTAAATAATTTTATAGATATAACTATAACTACTAATCAAATAATATTTAAGAAAAACTTACTTAATTAATTTGAAGATAAATTTATAAATAATTAAACCACTGTCCTAGAAATATAAAAATTTAATTATAAAAAGTATCCAAATTAAATTTAAACAAAATAGAACACATATAATACCTACAGTACTGTTTAATTCCTGAAAATAAATAATTTTTAAGATTCATAATAAGGAAATATAAAAATTCTTTATTTAACTTTACTTATATACAGACGAATTGTGTGATAAAGATAACAAAATACTATTGCAATAATAGCAAGATTTTAAAGAGAAATTCCAAAGATAATATTTCTATAGAGAAGGAAAAATACGATTCTTTTAATTTATTATAAAAAATATTAGAATTAGTTTTGCTCTTTATCTTAATTAGTATTAAGTATAAATTTTATCTATGAAAATCTTTAAAAAAAGTTGAAAAAATT